AACAACAACAATAACATGTTGTGTTATATTAATGATATTATGTTACATTATATTTTCCGTTTCTAACTGAAAGGTCAGTTTTTCAGATCTACTAGCTGTTCCATGGGAGGAAGATGTGTCTCCTTCTACAGTGGCCTTGACTCAAAGGATGTGGTTGAATCAGTCCCAAAACAACTTTTGTCAGTACAGAATGAGACCTAGGGGATGCTGTTGGGGAGCATGTAGACAGTTTTCCCTGTAAGTTCAGGAGATGGGTGTGGGTGTACCCTATAGGGCTGTACATATTTGCAGTGATTCCTGACCCCAGCAGCCAAGTATTTTGGAAGCAAGAGTGGCATCCACTTCCTAAACAACATGCCTCTGGAAACTCTATGAACTTTGATAAATGTCAATAGTTATAGAGGGGCTTCAGGCCTTTTGTTCATAGGGTTACTGTGAGTCGTGCTCGACTTGAAGGCAATCAACAACAACCCAGGAAAGGAAGGACAGAGTGACATATGTAGAGTGGAGGCATGTGGCCTGCCTGAGCCTTTCTTAGCACCTCTCTTTGCTTAACAGTTGAGCTGCTTCATTTAAAGAGTGATCTCCCTTGTGACCAAGTGATCTTTGTAGTTAACTCATATGGATCCTTCAGCAGGACTTCAGAGGCTGTAAATTACACAGGAGAAGATTGCCTATTTCTCTCCAGTGGAGCTGTTTGTGGACTTGAACTGCATAACTTTGGGTTGGCTGCACAACTCTTTGCCACTAGGCTACCAGGGCTCCATTTATATACATATACAAGGAGAGAAAGAGTGTGTTCTCTCAAGATGGTTCATGTGGTTATAGAGGCTAACAAGACCCAAATCCATGAGTCAGATATCATTCTAGAGGCTTCTTCTGATTCACAAACCTGCAGGGACTGACAAACTCGGCACCACCAGCTCAGATGGCAGGCCGCTGGCTTTGGGGCAGTAGAAGCTGACAAGTCCCAAGGTGATGAGCTAGGTGCATGTGATGAGACTTCCAGAATGTCTATGCATGTATGTATGTATGTATGTATGTATGTATGTATGTATGTATGTATGTGTTTATCTGTAAAGCTGCACTGCAATCCCAAAAAGCACATGTTCAAAGGCACCAACTGTTCGATGGGAGAAGATTGTGCTGTCTCCTCCTGTGTGATTAACTGCCTCTGAAAACCCTCTGTAGGATCAGCTATGGATTAGTTTTGACTCGATGATACACAACTAGATAGATAGACAGATAGACAGACAGACAGATAGACAAGATGCAGGCCACACCACCAAGGAAACTCTGCATACAGCTGATTGGCTGTTTATATTAGATCACACCGTAAGAGGTGATTACATTGTTATGTGGCTGCCAAACTACTGAGAATAGTGGTTCGGCCAAGTTTACACACAGCCTTTCGAGAAACCTTCCTGCAGTAACTTCTAAATCCAGTTTTCTGGATTAGTGCTTTCCTTAAATGTGAAGAGAGAATGGTGGATAGAAAGAAAATAAGCTAGAAATTAAAAAGGCACCTGTTGTCCACCACACTGCTGTCAGTCATTCCTGGCTCATGGAGACCTTGCGTGTTGGGGGAGCTGTATGTACTTCTTAGGGGTTCAGCAACTCCTTTTTGGAAGTGGATCACAGGCAATGGGTGCACTTAGTAGGCCAGTCTTTTGAATAGAAGCTGAAAGGCAGAGGTTTGCAAGCCCTGAGGACTCCTCCTATCTCTCCGTCTACTTGAATGTGGAAGATTCCCCAGTCTTTCTGTGTCTCCTGACCTGGGTCTTTGTGGAACACACAAGCCTTCTTGTTGTTTACACGGAACATTCCTCATGCTGGGCTTGCCTGCTGCCTCCTGAGCATGTTTGGGTCGTGGCTACCTGGTCAGAGGGTGGAGGAAGGGGCAATGCCGGGCCTTCAGGGCATCACATCTGCCTCTCGTAGGGACATTCATTCTCCTCACACTGTCTTGAGATTACTCAGTGGTTCCACTTGAGTTAATATGCTTTCTTATCTGCTAATAAACCAACTGTGAAAGACACTTTGAGACCACATAATGTCCTACTCATCAAATTTTCCTTACTAGTCACTGTGAAATAAGATTCTTTGCCTGTTTTTGTGACGCTTATATAATCATGTTCTCTCACCCCATTTATCAAGCAGTATCCAAATGTAAGAAATACCCCACCTTCTTACCTCTCCATATATCTGTTCATCCATCTATATCTCTATCTATCTCTATATCTCTCTCTAATCTATCTTCATTTATTCACTTGTTATCCATTTGGGCACCCCTCTATCATCTACTCACCCATCCATTAACTCCCCCTTGCATCCATTCATCCATCTGTACATTCATCTGCCTGTCCACTCACCCAGCCATTTACCTACCTGTTCAATCCATTCATCTGCTCATTCGTCTGTCCATCTATACATACATGTATATGTATGCACATGCACCCATCCCTCTTTCCACTCATCCATCCATTACTCAGTCATCCATTAGTTCACCTGTGTAGCCATTCAACTTTCTACCCATTCCTGTGACCATCCGCCGATCCATTCACCCACCTGCTCATCCACCCACCCCTGTCCATCTTCACCCCACCTGCACACCCATTCATAAATACATGCATATATATTGTCAGTATCAAGTCTATTTCTTTTACTCTTCAGGTCATACTCCATTACTGTCCTGCTATAATTTTATGCTCAAATTGTCCCAGATATGGCCAGGAGAGTTTGTGCAAGTTGTCTTTGGTAACAGTATGTAGTTTAAGTTCATTAAGTTCTGTGTTTAAAAGGTAGTTATCTAAGTACAAGAGAATTCGTTTGCTGGTAAGGATGATAACTCACATTTTAGGGGAAATCATGGTCCTCGGAATGAAAGAAGGCTGGGACGTGGTCTCTCTGCCTCACTGGTTTGATGACATCTCTGAGCTGACATGGGAATTTGACATTGGTTCTGGGACATTATGCTGATGGGACATCGGGAAAGCCTTCCCGCACAGCCCAGACCAGGGTGGTGGGCAGCACAGCGGGCAGAGTCCAGGGATGTGGAGGTGGGACGTGCTGGTGAGAAGTGAGCGGGTTGACTAGGGGAGCAGCATTTCTCAAAGAGTCACGATTGTCCTTCCTTCCTTCCTGTAGGTGGGCTCCCACCATCTGAGACTCAACAGAGGCCTGGAAGCTAGTGCGCCTGCTTTCGACCGGTAAGGCCGGTGGGAGACCTTTGCATTTTACAGTCTTCCTGCCATTACACAGGGACAGGGACAGGAAGCCAGGTCCCCAGCCCTCAACCGAAACCTTTCACTTTGCTCCTTTGTGGAAGTAGCCTTTAGAGAACCTCAGGGGATGTGGTTCAACTCTGCTTCCCTGAAGGCTGTCGAGCAAGGCCCCAGTCTGACAGTATAAGAAGTGGAAACAGAGTCTTATTGTGGAGTTTTGTGAAGAGGGAGACACTAATAGCCGAGGACGATGTATCCATATCTTTAATCACAGAAACAATTACAGATACCAGAACAGGTACTGGGGGGGAAGGACACCACAGGAAATGGAAACAGGGTTGGGTTTTTTGTTTTTTAAAAAAATTTTTATTATATTTTGTGTGTGTACCGTCAAATCGGTTCTGACTGGTACAGGAGGAGATTGCCCCTCCTTCTCCAGCAGAGCATCTGGTGGATTCGAACCATGTACCTCCAGGATTTCAGTGCAGCTTCTTGCAAACTATAAAGTTTTAAAACATAAGTCTTGCATAACAATAAAAGAGGGTGGTTTTTTTTTTCAAGAAGAGTGAATTGTGGGGGAGGGGGTGGGCAGGGAGAAAAGTGCAACAATCAATGACTGGAAACCCTAAGTCTCTGTAAACTTTCATTTAAAGTAGTAAAAAAAACAGGAAAACAAAAACAACCCATATGTCTTACCAAGTATTGGTCTCAAACCTAACATTAATTTCTAACTCTTAGAACGAATTTGACCGAGATCCTTTTTAGCATCAACAACTTAGAATTCTGGGGAAGAATGGAGGCTGTTTTCTGTGTATTTGCCATTCTTTTCATCTGAAGATTACAGGTTATATCCCTTCCCAGAATTCCGAGTCAGTAGTACCCTGTGAAGGGCTCTCTGAATGAGTTGGTCACTCACTCGGGACGTGGTGAATCAGGACTCCTTCAGCTCCTCTTGGTCCATGAACTAGTCGGTCAGTCAGCTTGGGATGTGGTTATTCAGGACTCGTTCAGCTCGTCCTGGTTACAACGTTCATCACAGGGTCTCCTGTTCGCATTATCGGTGCTGTTTTCAAACCTCGCGCAGGCCCAAGTATCCTCCCCTGAGAATAGCTATGCAAACATTCTTGAAAAACGTCTTTTAACAAACAAGTCCTAGCACAAATTTAAAAAGAAAAAAATATCCTGACTTTCATTTTTTGTGCTGCTGGCAGTTCGATTTCCTCAAGAAGCTGTATTGCCTTTGAAGGGGAGAAGGGAAAATTCCAGGCTTGGCCACGGCTTGACTTAAAAGTGGAGTTTTGTTTAGATCTGGGCTGGGTGTTTGGTGTGGGTTTTTTTTGTGGTTTGTCTTTTTTTTTTTAAAATTCATGCCAAGCATCTCAGGTTTTGGGGTCCCCATACACCTCTGTAAACAAGATCAGTAAGTGCTCAGGTAATGCTTAGCAATTATTCTATCTTCTCTTTTCTTTCTTGACATGAATCTTATCAGTTTGTCCCTGTTAATAAGGAAGAAGCTAAATTGTAAAATCTGAACATAGAGTATTTGTAGCCATTTACCGCAGGTGTAGGTGAATCTGAGTGCTGGGGCGCTGACTGCAGCTTGTTGTGAGCCCCCATCTGGTTTTTGAGGCTGCGTGTCTTAGCAGGAGAAAGCTGCCCATCCTTCTCCTTCAGAGCAGTGGTGGATTTGAAGCTCTGACCTTTGGGTTTGCATACTAGCCCTTAGCCTACTATGCTACCAGGGCTCCTTATAACCCAAACCCACGACCTGTGAGTTGATTCCACCCTCCAAGGTGATGGAGGTCGCTCTGTGACCCTCCACCAGGTTCCCAAGGCTGCACATCTTTAGGAAGGAGGCTGCCCAGCTTTCTCTTTCTGAGCGGCTGGTGGCTTTGAACTGCTGACCTCATGCGTTACAGTCTAGTACATTACTCACTATGCCGCCAGGGCTCCTATGGCTCTTAATACCCACTATTGTGCTGTTGACTCCAAACACAGTGACTCTCCATCGAGTTCCCGAGACTGTAAATCTTAGCAGGAGAAGACTGCCCATCTTTCTCCCACAAAGCAGATGGTGAATTTGAACCAACAGCCTTTTGGTTAGCAGTGCAACACATTATATCACCAGCCTGCTTACCAGTCAGTCTGTCATTGCTGTCGAGGAGGAGCTAGCTCATAGCAGAGCCTCCGTTGGGTTTCCAAAGCCGTACATATCGTGAGAGGAGCTTGCCCATCATCCTGTCTTGAAGCCACTGGTGAACCAAGCCACCGGAGAGGTGTGGTGTCTGGGATAGCAGCGTAGCTCCCCACACACCTGCCCCAGAACTCCCTGGTATTTGTGTACCACCAAGTTGGAACCGACCCGTAGCTGACCCTCCATCGGATTTTCAGAGGCTCTAAATCATGTGGGAGGAAATGGCCCATATTTCTCCTGTAGAGCAGCTGGTGGATTTGAACCATGTACCTTAGGGTTGACAGTGCAACTTCTTACCACTAGGACACCAGAGCTCTAGGGAGCTCCTTAAAGAGAGCTGTGAAGTGAAAAGCATTCTAACTCCCAGTGGCTCCAGGTTTGTTTTCTACCATCTTTGAAATAATTTGGGCATATATGTTGGTGGTGGTGGTGAGTACCGTGGAGCAGGAAATGACCCAGGCCTGACCCTCCAGTGAGTTTTCAGAGTCCGTAATCAATTAGGGCTGTTGTACATAGGGTCACTATGAGTTGGAAGCGACTCTATGACACATAACAGCAACAACAGTATTCAAGCACATGAGAGGAGATTGCCCATCTTTCTCCCGTGAAGCTGCTGGTAGATTCGAACTACGTGTCTTTGGGATTGCAGCACAGCTTCTTAGCACTAGGCCACCAGAGCTCCCTGGGCATATATAGTTCATTTATTAAAACATGTGTCAGCATATATGCTCTACAACTTGCAGTCATTTCTTAACAACTGCTAATAGCAAGGACTTGGAATTGCTAATGGCACATTTGTTCATTTCATTTTTAAAATTGTCTTAGTAAATGCAATAAAAATTCTCAAAAGAGAAGGCTTAGATTTTTCCATTTTTTAAAAATTTTTAAAATTATTTTATTAGTGTGTGTGTGTGTGTCTATCAAATCGCATCTTACTGGTACAGGAGGAGATTGTCCCTCCTTCTGCAGCAGAGCATCTGGTGGATTCTAACTGTGCACCTCTGGGATTGCAGTGCAGCTTTTTGCCACTAGGCCCCCACAGCTCCCCTTAGATTTTTCCATTTTTGTATCTTGAAACATAATGTGTTCCACCTGGTGGACTCTTAGAGAAAGGCATCGTAATATATTGATGGAAACGCCTTTGCTGGGTTCTGGGTACTGTAAAAGGGGTCCTCCTTTGCATAGGACTTTCCAGAAAAAAGACCATTATCCGTAGTATACTAATTAGGAGTTCCCAGAGTATGTTCAGGGCTCCTGGTGGCACAGTGGTTAAGCATTTATCCATTGATAGCTTAGAGGTTTGACCCCAGAGGTGAGGGCCAGGCATGGGCTACTTTCAAAATCTCTCATAGCTTTATTAACTTTAGTCTAAAACCAAAACAAAACCAAACACACAAAAACCAAGCACAACTTTAGTCTAAAAAACCCACCACGTGTATATATGTGAGTGTATGTTTATTAAAATTACATTTATATGGAATTAGAATACTTTAAGTCCTGGTAAAGCATGGTGTGTGCATAAGACCTCTTTTCTCATACAAAGTCATCCTGATAGTTCAGTTGTTAAGTACCAACTGTTAACCCAAAGATTGGCAGTTTGAACCCACTGGTTGCCTTGCAGGAGAGATGAGACAGTCTGCTTATGTGAAGATTCACAGCCTGGAAGGAACCTTACGGGGTTGTTCTCCTGGTCCCTCAGGGTCGTGTGGAGTCAGAACGGGCTCAGTGGCTGTGGGGTGGGCTTCGTTTTTGTCATGAGAACTCAGAAGCCACCCTTTTCCTTGAAAAGCTTCCCTAAGTCACATGTGAACTTCTGACTCAAACCAGGTGCCTCTGGGCTTGCAGGGCAGCTTCTTACCACTAAGCCACCAGGGCTCGCTAGAAGCCAGAATCCTGGACGGACGTGGCTCCAGGGCGGTGTCTCGGGAGCCTTTTCCCGGGCCTGGGGATGCATCTGCTTGGTTTTCTCTTGGCTTCTCCCCTGTGTGTGTTCCTTCACTGCTCAGAGGGGCGAGGTTTAGACACTACCTTGCTCTGGTATAAACCCCAAACAGCCAAGCCCACTGCCATTGAGTTGGGACCGGCTCATAGCCGCCTCATCAGCTTTCTAAGGCTGTAGGTAATATTTTTTTTTCCCAAAAAAACAAAACAAAACTTGGTGTTAAATGATTTTTAAACTGCAAATAGTCATTACAAAAGTGACTAAATAAATTTCTAGTAAATTTACATAAAGAAAAATAGAAAGGGAAGATAATGGACAGCAAGAGGAATGACAATTACGTGTGTGTGT